CTCATATAATACTGCATTGATTGCCTTATAGGACTTCGAAAAGAAGGGTTGCTGGTCTTCCTTCTCTTCTCCATGCCTCTATACCACTCCAAAAAAGATTCAAGCACACTAAAGCAGTAGGAATTACAGCAACCCTACAAAGCGCACGTCGAAAAAAAAGAAAGAGTTGGAACAACAGAAAAGGCTGAATTGGAAAAACGTTCCGGATACCTTCGTCTAATAAAACTTCTCCAGCTGTTCAGACTTTTCACTAGGTTTCTAACTTTCTCAGTGAAAATATTTGTCAGAGAATCCAGTAAAAGGGAAGGCCCAAAAAAAAGAAAGTCTAGCAGACAAGCGCCTTCTGCACGAGGGTAATAGGAATGAAGTTTCGCGCATATTGCGTTTGTCGAGTACAACCGTGTTTTGCGTGTCGCCTTTCGCTGAGCGCGCTCTGCGGAACGCAGTGATTGGCCTTCCGCGTGCGCTGTGGGAAAGCAGCCTCACAGGCATATTGCGGAGCCTGGCTGGTTTTTATACGAGCTTTGTTTATAAAGCATGAAGTGGTTTTAACGGAGCCCCCCGCTTTCTTATGCCCTCCAATATCATGATTTTGTTCGCCCGTCCGTTCATTTACCGCGAAATTCGGCGGGGGAAACGAATGCCACGTCGTAACCTAAACACTAATCCAGTTTCACGTGATTTTACGTGACCTTACGTCATGAGAGCTACAAGCCATCTCAACCCCCCCCCCCCCCCCCCCCTAAATTGAGCGAAACAATTTGCGTCACGTGACCTAAGCACCAATTCAGTTTCCCCGCTAAATTTTGTGGAAAAACTGATGTCACGTAACCTTCCCACCAAGTTAGTTTCCCTGCTACATTTGGCGTGGGAATTAACAAAGATATGGGTTCTTCACCCTCTGAAACAACTGTTCTTCTTAACAAATTTTAACGATCGCTCCTTGAACACAATATTTCATGCCTATATAACTTCGAAGATGAAGGTCGCTGTCAATTTTTCCAACTATCACTCGATAATTCTTGGACCTATTTCCTCAGGACGATGTAGCAACGGCGCGTAGGCAGTTGAAAGGAGGGGCCTAGTTGAATAAAACGCTAGAAACGGAGCCAGAGAAAAATCAAGAACGAGAAATAGAGAGCTATTGTGGATACCACGGCTTTTTAATTATACCCCTCTCTACTGCAAATGTCTGCCAGAAAAAATAAAAAAAAATAACGGCCACCATTAGCGCGGCGCGTATTAGCCCATTTAAAACGTATACTATGTACATGCAGAACTTTGCGAATAGGTAATGTATATTTCTGTTTGTTTTCAATTTTTACTACCAGCGTCTATTACCGTGCCTGTTGTCTATTTTATATCTGTAAAATGAGGCATGAAAAGGGTAGCATTTTGAAAATATTGGTTTTGAAAGAGAAGCACAAAGCCATTAATCGAATAAATCCATTGTTCAAGGTTCTTCAATTTCGGATGGGCAGCAATGTAGCAAAATGGTTCGAGGGAAACAGGCATACACGTTTCAGCAAAACATGCAATAAAATTTGAAAACATTGAATCTTCGTAAAGACCAGGTTAAGTAAAACAAAACATCACAAGAAAATACCCACGATGAAAGGCAGCAGACAATACAACCACTCGCGGGAAACAGAGCATTCACTAGTGAAATGTAACCAGGTAAGCTATACTATCATAAGAATGCCCAGAAACAAAAACCGATAAAGCTACTATTTGTGAATAAAATGTAATTTATAATGCCCCCTCCCCCCCTCCTCCCCCTCCCCCCCCCTCCCCCCCCCCCCCCCCCAAAAAAAAATGTAGTCCCGTCGACGCATCTATTGACCGCTGCAGTGTAAGACATTGTTCCTCTAACACTTTAATATGTTCAATTGTTTGGGGCTGTTTTATTATAATTCAAGAATTCAAATAAAAAGAAATCGGTAATCATTTTTTTTATTATATTAAGCGCATATGCCGGGCTCCTAGAAAAGGCGCGACAAAGCCATGTGATCATTGACACCATTCTGGTATTGTTAAGGCTGGTGGTGTGAAAAAGCGGATGATAAGAATTCGCAACATTCAGCGATGGTCGCGCGTAGGTGTTTCAATCACGCTCCCCAGATCATGCATGATCGATCTCTGAATAAAGGGGCTCACTTACACCTTCCTAGAGTGGAAGTATGAGATATAGTTCTTATACGTATAAGCTCGTATTTCGAAAATTACAGTTACTTACGCGTCGCACACCCAACCTCGATCTACTGTTCTGCTAACAGTCAACTCCAAGTTGACTACAAAAATGAAGAAATCTCATAAAGTCTTTGTGTTTTTTAGATCCTCTTTGGACTCAATGTGGCGTCTTTCAATGTTTAAATTTTATTATAAGCTAGGGTATGTTATTAGGTAATTACGCGTCCACTCCAATTTGTGTAATACGCAACCAATTTTTCGCAATATCTTTTTTTAACTACACGGATTTTATGCAAATTGCAGAAATTTAAAGCTTAAGATCGGCAAAAATAAAAGGTATATTTTTTTTGCAGAAGTTTTTTTTTAAGTTTGGAGGTTTATTTATATAATGTTTTTTTGTACATATTCCAGACACGAAAAAATTGTCGCGTCTCCTTTGGCGTGGAATGACCCTACCATAATGCCGGCGTATAAGAAATGGAAAGTGGTGTTGCGCAACATTTTTGAAAATATCAAAATTGTTTCTATCGTTTCCTTGACAAGTGTACGGGATATCTAACGTGCAAGTAATTGGTGTATAGTAACGAGTACAGATATCCGTTACTTTTCAGCGAAAATAATTGTAGCGGTAGTTCATCACATTTAAGGCTCGGTAATTTGGAATTCAAATTCATTGTGTTTTTCGAGTAAGTTGCCCAAATCTGCATAAGCCTCCCCCCACTGCAATCAACACCCCCCCCCCCCCCCCCCCCCCTTTACGAAGAAGGATCATCGCAAGCCCGTCGTGCAGTGTCTCGGAACGAGCGTGACGCTGGCAGGTGAAGATGCCACGACGGACGCTTCTTCCACTTTTCGGTTACTCCCGTCCAGCTCCAACGTGTTTGCCGCTTGAGCCGGGATCCACTAACGATGACGTAATGTGCAGGCCTCGTATCCTAGGAGGTATCGCCGGAACACGTGGCTGCGTTCTTTCTTCAGCACCCTTAATTCGACCGAATAACATTTTTCAATCGTAAAATAGGGTGATTGTTGCGTGGAACACCCTTCATTTTTGAAGGGTGTAAAACGGATTTCAAAATTGCGGAAAGCTGAAGTGAGACGAACATTTTTTGGAAGGGTGTTTGCCGAAGTGATACGTGCTCACGCCGAAGTTGTTTTATGGTCGATGCTTGCACCTATACTCTTTACTCGGAGATGCGATCCTTGGACCTGTCTATATGTTATGCATTACGCGAAATATTGACAAAAACAAACCAACGTACGTGTAAGCTTTGTAATTGCGGAAACGGACACCTGCGCTTCAGTATCTTTGAACTATCAAGTATTTAAGACCGTGAAGCAGGTCATGAATCCTCTCGTGCGTGGTCCATTGCGTTTGTATTTGCAGTCTTTACATTCTTGATCCGGTACCACTTAGGTTTCAGTTAAGTTCCGCATAAGGCTGGCGTAGTGCATGTGGGAACTGCGTGGTCGCTAGTGAACTTGGTGCTCGTCATAATGCACCTAGGAGGCTGCTAATACTTCCAACATCATACAGACTTAGGGTATTAGCCCTGTAAAAGATTATGTTAACACTTAAGGGTGTAGTAAAAGTTTTCAGTCTGCATATAGCCAACGAAGAGGCAGCCGTGCATTAACTTTGAGTAGGACTTAGCGTGCACCGTGTTGCATAGGACGGTTGTTGGCGAAGGTCACAGAGGACGCGACACGGCCACTGGACAAGTTGCAGTCACTGACAGAACGAGAATGGCTGGGCGTGTTGTTCGAACGCCTCCAGCCCATGCCTTCTTGTGCGCTTCGTTATAGCCTGCTCTATACCCACAAAGTCTGACAGTTTGACGACGGAGCCATAGAGTGCCCGGTCGCTGATTTGGAGCGCGAGGATCTGCTAGCACAGAGGATCAAAGAGCCATTTCTCGGGGAACCTGGACGTCAGAGCATAGCTCTTGCAGCGGCGAGGACCCGAAACACACTTGTTCGCTCGGGAGAAGCGTGTTTCGGCGTTTCGCCGCAGCGGGGCGCCAGTCACCTGGCTCTCCTCTCATTTGTTGTCTGCTGCTCCACATTTTCCATTTCGGCGGCCGATTCTCGTGGCGATCTGGCAGGCTTTGTCAGTATATAGGAGGCGACGGTTTTGGCTGCGCGTGCACGCTCCACGAGCCCGAAAGGTCGAAGCGTCGTCGAGGGTAAGAAGCTCGCCCTGGAAGCGGAACAACCTAAGCTCCTCCCTGCCGCTTTCCCCTTGTCCGTGGCTATAGCTGAGAATCAGAGGGAGAGGAGGAGACGTCAGTATGCCGAGCTTGGGGGACCTATGCTACACATGGCGGTACCAAGTGGGGACCGGGACAATGCCGTCTGCAGCGATTGGTCAGCGCCGCGCCGCTCACCGATCGCAGCAGGCGGCTTTGTGCCGATCTCTTGGTCTCGCTTGGTCCCGCCGTGTAGTAAAGGGACCCTGGTGGGAATGATTAGTGGGCACAGGCAAAGCTAGCTGCCTCGTCCCAACTCACACTTCGAACGCATAGGATTGCCAAACGCAGGCGTCCAACGTTCCGCATTGGCATTCGAAACGTGTTCGAATAGTGAGTAGGGACAGAGACAGGTAATTTCACGTCTACCATCTAATCATTACAGTCAGAGGTGGGCGTTCTGACGTCCCTCAGGTTTTCGGCGTATAATTAAGTAGACAGTAGAACATAAATTCGGATGCGTGATGCAGTTTCTTTTTTTTTTGTGATTCGAGAGTAAACAAAAAAAAAACAAAAAAACAACAACATTTGATTGAGTGATTGAGGGAAAGTGGCACTTACCCGAGACCCAGGACCCGTTGAACTTCCTCGGGTTGAAGGCGCCGAAGAGCACGTCCTGCTGCGTTATCCGGGCCTGCTTCACGCGGGGTCCCTTGTCTCCTGAAACACAGCACACACTCAAGGCACGGCTGGACAAGACACGCGGACGCCGCCGACATAACGGGCAACAACAGTACAACAGTCCACAAGAACCTCCTTCCGTGGCGGCCTTCCTGCAAGCATCCAAATACGACCTAGTACTTTCGAAGTTTCGCTGTTAACTTGGGTGGGGAAAACACATATCTACACGAATTGTGCCTGGCTCCGTCATACAGGTGCAGTCTCAAAGACTGCCTAGCTTCGAGAGCAAAATTACCGGCTTTTGCCTTGTTTTTTTAAACATCAATTCCAAGAATAAAGAATTATACGCCTTAAATGTTCTGGCAAATAATGTAAAAAAAAACAAAAAACCTCATACGTCTCCTGCAACATGAATGACATTGTTGTATGTGCTCGCTGATGAGCTAGCTGATGAACGAAAGTTTCCCGTCTAATTTTAGAAAGTACTCGGACGCAGCGATTCACCACGGCCCCAGGAGCTACCCAAGAATTAAGTACGCGTAGCAGAGCGCGTTGGATAAACTAAAGTTCATATAAAAAAAAAATGGACAAGGGTCAGGCACTCACAGTTCGTTCGACGAGCAACGACACATTTATAGGATGCCCATCACTCTACCAAAACCACTTTGCTCACAGAGGGATTCAGAAAAAGAGCTGAATTTAACTCCCTGAAAAAGATGAATAAAATTGAAGGAGGCTTTTTCTATGATAACCCTAGCGCTAGGAATTCCAGATCTTTTGTCGATAACGACAACGAAAGTTCTGAAACATTGTCTGTGGCATCCTTGATCTGAAATGCTTCAATTATTTCTTCTAGTCTATACTTGTCCTTGTGTGAGCCAAGCGCTGTAGTGTTTTCATAGCTGAGAGTGGAAATATGTCAGGTGCGGGCGTGCACGACAATTTGATGGTATAAGAGTCAGATGACGCCTTGTTGACTTCTAGAATGTGCTTCCTAAGGTTCAGGCATCACCCGCCTGGTCGATCCATTTGGCTGCCACAGCTCAGCGGAATGAAACATATTGGGTTTTCTTGACATATAACATATCTTTGGAGTGCTTGATGGTGCATTCTGGTGGACGACATTCCTTATTCACCCTTTGCCACATTTGTCTTAACTTAATTGTACACGCGAAGACCACCCTCGTGACAAACCAAGCAGAACTGTGAGAACTGTGAGTGTCCGTCCCTCGTCCATTTCAGGGTTTTATCATTTTTTCTGCGTGAGCTACCCAAGAAAATTATTAAAAAACACCAAAAAACAATGAAGACAATCTGCGCTTGAGTGTGGGGGCTTGAACTGACATACTAAGTATCGCCACACCCATAGCACTTTCCTGTGAAAAGATTACGGTTGCCTTTTTATTCGTTCTTTCTTTCTTAAATACAGATATTTGGTGATACACCTAATTTGCGGGAATGCACAAGCGCAGGTCTTGCTCCTTAACAGTGCCGCTGCTTGCCAAGTAGACAAATCGTGCTAAATTTCTACAGTTGGCTATAGCAACTCGAGAACCTGAATCGCATCTGGGCCACCAGATATTCCTGGGATGCAACATTACACGGTGACTACTGAGGGAAAAGGCGGAGGTGACCGATATCTGTCGCTTAATGCCAGATAAATGCCGGGTCATTTTGCCTCTAAACGAGGCTAATGGGATGCTACATTGTGCAAGATGTGACCATGGAAAGCGCGGTGCGAAGTGCCACGTCGCCGAATATATTTTAAAACGAAAACATTTTTTCGGCACACCCTTTGCCGCACTGCCTCCATAGGCCACTGTGACGTGTACTCAAGTTTTGTTTTATAATTTTTTTATAGAAATGATGACGCACTGGAACGTTTTCATTAAAGAGTTGGTAACCATACAACAATGCTCAAGCAACATTGGCACGGAACAATAGCTGACGCGCTTCTTTTTCGATCATACTGTCAAAGACACTGAGGCACGTCCCACTACTTTATCGCTGACGGTGCCAACATAATAACTTTCATTTAAGCTACCAAGTCGGACGCTTTACCAACGTCATTACTCAGAGCTGTCTGAACACCTTTAACTTTTCACGGTCACCAATACAAGAACAGTGTTGTTAATACCAAATACGGAACGCACGGAATGCAACGTTCTTTCCATGAAACAAGTTCGCAGAATTGAGTTGAGTCATGCTCACGTCATAAAGGAATTATACTCTTTAGTGAAGGTGCCTGGCCAAGTTGCCTTTGGTTCTCATACTCCCAGCCGTAGGATGCGCTTTATATTTTATTGCGAGGAATTCAGGTTATTTAGTTTTGCAGTTATGTTTTACGGAGCTGAAGGCAAGATTTTTGGACTGAAAATTTAGTGAGACCTGATTATTTATTCACATGACAAACTTCACTCTCATGTGCGTTGCCACAGACGTTCACTAGACGCGCCAGTGATTCCAAGCGAGGGATATAGTTTTCCCCTCATCGGTCTGCACTCGCCTCTGCAAGCCTTCGCCTTCAGCCTTGCCTACGTGTTAACAGGTGATCGGCACATTGAAACAGTACACAAATATTCACAGTTTTTCACGAATACAATAATAGGTATGTCACGAACACAAATGGGTTTACAGTATGTCCTTACTTTCATCATTGGGTCGCAGCATGAAGTTGTTCTCTGAAAGGAAAAAGCAATACGGTCGTTGTTTACGTTAACCGTAAATGTATTCAAAGCTATGCTGGCACACCGTGCGTAGAGTGAAAAAGCCTAAGATGGTGAGGTAACAAACCCTTTATTTCGAGTGTGGTCGTTAGATAATACGGTCATTTCCGCCTCCGTATAACGTGCTAACAAAGCTGCGCGTTGAGTGCAACCGCTTCGTTTAACGAACCAAGTTTTGCAACAGTAAGTGCGATTGCGCTTTACAGATGCAGTTGACTAGAGTTAGTGACTGGGCTAATAAAAAAACCACAGTAAAGCCAATAGCGAAAAAAACTCGTACTTGTTGATGTTTTGTTTTTCTGTCTGCTTTACCGTGCTTCCTACGGCTCCTTCGTGACAGAAAGCACCACGAGCCATCACTGTGATTAACAGTAGCTCTCAGACGAATGACAACGGCCAAAAAACGTCCCAGCTCTGATTTTGTTATCCCGCACTCTCCTTGCCTGAGCGTATCGTGCCTGCTTCATAACTCTGTTTTTTTTTTTTCTTCCTCCGCTGGGAAGTAGAAGAGCGGGCATTTCTTAGCACTACAATAATTGATGGCGTTGTTTTCTAAAAAAAAAGAAAAAATATGACTATGTTTTGTTGGAGGAAAAGATGGCAGTAGAGGCTCCGCCGAGCAAAAACTTCGCTCAAAGCCCAATGTGCCTAAGGTAACCTAGAGTCTGGGCATGAGCCAGCTTTGTCTCTGTTCTTATTGGCCGCAATCTAACAAGTTGCCGAGCGACAGGCGATCGCCACACCATACGTTTCTTAAGTTGTTCGTTGCTACACTCTAAGAAATGCCTGCGCGTCTACTAACTCCCAAAACACTCAAAGAGCCAATCTCTGCGATCTAGGAAATCAGATGAGTGAATGATGAGGCGGAACATCCGTTTAGACCTAAAAATGAAGTCTGCACTGTGGCACTACGCAATGGAAAGCGTCATGCTTGCATTGCGTAATAGCACAGCGCAGACTTAATTTTGAGGCCTAAACAGGTGTTCCGCCTCATCATTCGCTGGGCTGAATTCGTAAATCGCAGAGAATAGCTCTTTGAGTGTTTGGCGGGTGAGCAGACGGGCATGCGTTTCTTCGAGTGTAGGGCAGAAAGGGCCCTTTAATCAAGTAACCAACAATTTATTTTTTAATGCGCACTTATGGTAATTGTTTTGTTTTTTTTTGTGCGTCGTCAGAAAGATGGTAGGTTCTAATCAAATAATATTCTTGCGCATCTGCATATGCATATGCTTCCAGTGGCGTACAGTGGCACAAGTTATCTCCAGGAATTCAAGGTTGATACTATCCTGCAGTTTTTACGTTCCAGCAAACTAAACCTCCGCGTCGTAAACGCTAAGACACTGCCAAATGTTTTACTAACCAGCTCTGATCAGGGAAATACTTGCATCTGAACGCCGGAAGCCACGGGAAAAGAGAAGTTCGGGAGGAGCAAATGAAAGTGACGCTGATTAGCGTATTCACTCGAGTAATATACGCAAAGTTTATAAACGAAGCATCGTCCATCTTCCCATGGAGCACATGGCTAGCCAATCATTGCAATTGATTTTGGCTCCCGCCCAAAGTCTTCACGATGTCTTCCATTGGCCCGCTGCCGGGGTAACGCCGACTAGATTTGACCAGAAAAATCGGCGACTCCCTCGCCGGGAAGAAGAGGCAAGAGGTGATGTCTTAAGAATTTTTTTTGTTTGCCCGATCCCATAAAGATCATTCTGGTGATATTACACATGAGAGTAATAGTTACGAAATTCCAGAAGGTACGCATATTGGCGAAGGAAAGGAATCATACTTTTGGTTGTTAATTTTTATGCTAGATGGCGCAAGCTACCGCCCGTTATTAAAGGTACAGCCGTTAGCATTCCTTCATCCATTCATCCGACTCGCGGAAAAGAAGACTATCTCCGAAAGTTGCAGAGGCGAATAATAATTTTCTCGACATCATTATTTGCTAAGATTTCTACGGTGAACGCGTGCCCTTAATCAAAGTATGTGCCCGTCACTTGTTCATAAACAGTGCCTGCTATCATCTTTCTAGATTGAAAATTACGACTTTTTGATGTGGCTTAAGAGTCATGACCGAACATTAAAAATGAGCGTGGCACAAAATTGCCGGTAGTGAATTTTGACACATATATTACCTTAACGAGCTATCATATTGCACGTAACTAAAAATAATAAAATACACAAGAAACAAGCGCCGGAGACGCATAAAAAACCGTAATATACATGATTTAGGTTACACCATATAGTGTTAACGATTTTCGAGCTTTTCCGGTTTCGTTGCAGTAACACGAAAGTTTCCTGCATTTCCTT